TATTATGAACGTTACTACATAATTGTCGGGATACCACTGTATACTGGCGGCTCTTGAGTGCAAATGTAGTGATTCTGTTATCTGCTAAGGAGCTATAATTTTCGCAATTTTATACAAAAAAATTTAATTTTTTAACAAGTGTGTTTTTAAGTTTAATTTGATGTTTAAAAATATTGCCATATTAAATGAAAGTTACATCGAATAATAAAAAGAATAACATTTTATTTGGCATTGCGAGAGAGTTGTAACTCTAATTATGTATGCAAAACGTTTACAAAAAGAAAATATATTAATAAATATCTGTAAACGTTTGCGTTTGTAATTTAACCAAAGTTTTCTTTATTTGCTGTTATCACCCTGTAAAAGCTTCAGATACAATACAAACATAAATGGGCTTCTGCATTTATTCTTATTGACAGCCATAAGGGCGCCTTCGGGTCAGATTAGCGATATGCCTTTATAATATACATGAAATATTTTTTTCAATTATATATATACAGGTATGGAAAAAAATATCTGACTAGGGCATTAAGACAACACGACGAACTGAGAAAAAATATTATATAGTATGTCCGTGATAGACCCGTAAGCACCATAGGCAGTCTTGTCTGTACATTGTTGCCGAATGAAAGTTTATTTTTTAGATGGTCTGGGGAAATATTTCATTGTGCGAATGAAAGTTTATTTTTTAGATGGTCTGGGGAAATATTTCAACATTGTGATTGCAAGATTTAAAAGCAGGTTGATATCTTTGATTAAATCAACATTTTTTTTAATCGCAATTCATAAAAAATAAAATAAATTCTTAACGGCATAAATTAAAACCATTTCTTCTAAAAAATAACAATTTATTAATTTTAATTAAAACTATTTTAAATTAAATTTTTTAAAAGTGTGTTTAAAAAGGTGTTATGCTTTGAAAGGCATAATTCGTCTAAATTTCCGGCACCTTCATGCTCATGTGGGTAAATTTGTTGCTTCACATAACCCCATACGAAAAAGTCCAAAGATATAAGATCAGGAGAGCGAGATGGCATTTTTATGATACCTTTTGTTCTAATAGCTCTATCTGGAAACGTAATGTTTAAAAAATCTAACACCTCCCGTGCATTTTGAGCTGGACAGCCATCTTTCTGCAACCAAATTTCATTCATATTAATAGGTAATGCTCGAACTGCTGGAATTATTTGATTTCTCAGGAGATCTAGGTATTTACGACACAAAGTGTCCACATTGAAAAAAGGGTCAATTACGTTGTCACCTAAAATATCAGCCAGAACGTTGACTTTTTCACGGTATTGTGTTTTGTAAGGAACACTTCACTGCAACTCTAGAAAATATATTCAGCAAAATGAACTGGCAGAACAAACGTCTATCCATTGATGGAGAATACCTCAGCCGTCTAAGGTTTTCAGACGACATCGTTCTGTTTTTTAATAATCTTGTAGAACTACAAGAACTTATAAGCCACCTAAATGCAGCTAACAATGAAGTTGGCCTAAAAATAAACTTGACAAAAACAAAAACCATGTTGGGACAATTAATACATAAATCTGGCTCCTTACTTCAAGAATGAAACTGGCTTATCATCTTGTGGTAGAAATGCAGTTATATTTAAATCGCTGATTCCACTCTACCTGAAGAAAAAGCATTTGATCAGTGTATACTACCAATGACGACATACGGCTCCGAAACTTGAACACCGAAACTCCGAACACTAAAGACAGAGATAATAGCGAAACTCAAAGGTCAATGGACCGATGTATACTAGGTAAAACAAATAGAGATCGAAAAAGAAATAAATGGTTTTTTCATGGGTTTTCCAGACAGACAACCAAGGTCACTGATGTAATCCATAGAATTAAATCTTAAAAATGACAGTAGGTGGGACCTTTAGCGAGAAGAACTGACGGTAGATGATCCACTAAAATTATACTGTGGTATCCAAGAAGCGTCAAGATACCAAGAAGACGTTCAAATTTAAGATGGAATTATGATATAAGGAAACAAGCCGGTACAACATGGCACAGAAAAGTGAATATTAGACAATCGTTGGCAGAAATGAAGAACGACTATGTGAGGGAGGCTGTATCATAATCAGTAGAATGCGCAGAATATACAAACTCAAAAAAATTATTCAAAATAGTCCCCATTTGCCTGAATACAGCACCGAAGTATATTAGATCAATCGCTGTACGTACAACATTCATAGAAAAATTGTGTACCGTCTCCACCAGCTTCAATGACTCCAGAGAATGGTGACGTCTTGTGCAGACCCTGTCCTCCACCCTACCGGCCAATGGTCACTACTATTAATTTCGGGTCATTTTCAAGCCACAGTTGAATAGTTTTGGCCTTATGCGCACATGCAGAATCCATCTAAACATTCTTATTTCTGCCAAGTGCATTCGTTGTTCCTCTTTCTTTTAACTGCCCAACATTCAGCTTTATTGAAATTTTTCTGCCACATAACACACTACTCGCTTCCTTCCACTTCATCCATTCAATCCTAATTATACTGCTTTCATCTCCATCTATTCTCCCATTACTCTGTAACACCGATCCTAGGTACTTTAAACTATTACTTTTCACAATCATTTTACCATCCAGATCATTATATTTGTACTATGGTAAGGTTAATTATTGATCTAACAGCATTAATAACTGTGGCTTACGACCCATGCGAGGCCGGCCGAATCTTTTACGGTCACTTACTCCGACTGTTACAAAAACAAATTAAGAGTACGATGCACAAAAATACGCTTTTATATATATATATATATATATATATATATATATATATATATATATATATATATATATATTTCCGCGCTGCTATTTCAACCATCTTGAACTTCTAAAGATCTCTAACTAACGAGAAAGATCAGAAAAAAGGTACAAGCAACTCCAGATATTCATATTCCATCCCCGAAGGGTGGTACATTCATTTCTCCATCTACACCAGCCCATTACTTATTAATAGGCTGCTCCAAAAGGAGACACACACCGTACACTAGATACAAGTAGAGACAAAACAAAACAACACTTATGTAAATTAATTTCTGTAATATATTGAAGGTCTTTGAAAAGTCATTTAAGATTTCGGCGTCAGTAGTGGAAGCTGAATAGTGGCTCACCCCACTGACGCCGACAGATACGACACATTAAAATAAACAGTTCACCTTTGTTGCCTCTCTCCTCTCCTGTCTCCTCTCTTTCTCTTCCTTGTATTTTATGATTTCTGTCACAAAACCAATGATCAGGTCAAAGATTCTTTTGTTTTTAATTGCTTTATTCATTTGTTCATGTGGCTCGCCTAGAGGTGACCCCAGGCCCAGCTGCAGCAAGGTTTGCCCCACATTGTATGCAGGGCATACGAATGCCACATGATGCGCGTCATCTACCACTCCACACTCGGGACACAGATCGTCCTCGGTCTTCTTTATTCTATATGTATAAGACCGGAAAGATCCATGTAGCGTCATAAATTGAGTGAAGTAGTAGTTGACCCGTCTGTGTTTACACTCATACCACCTTACTACATCTGGGGTAAGGACCCTCGTCCAGGCAGCCTTGTCTGTTTCCCTTGACCATTGGTCCTGCCAGATCTACAAACTCCTTTTTCTTTTTGTGTTCCTGAACCTAAAGCTCCATTGCCCCTTTGGTGCATCCAAACCCTTTCATTAGCCAGGATATGCACCGGTACAGCACCGGCTACTACTTGTAAGGCAATGGTTGATACGGTCCTGTACGCCCTGATCAATGGTTTCCTCTGTGTCCTAAGAAGCATGTCTTTATATTTTGCTTTGTTGAGGATATCATGCCACACTGGGGCCCCATATAGTAAGATGGACATCTTTTGTGTGACCCGGGGCCTCCTATATTCGGCGTTATCTTATTAAGGGTCGAGGTCCTCTCTTCCGCCTTCCGACATGCTTCTTGTATGTGGTGTCTGAATGCGATTTTGTCGTCTAGTATGATTCCCAAGTATTTTACGGTCTTCTGGGTTCTTAGGTCGGACCCTCTAAACCGAAAATTTACGTTTTTTCTATCCCGTAGTCCCCTCAAGATGATTAACCCCAATTCATATCTTCTATAAGTAATAGTAACCATGTGATTGGAGTGGGCATCTAACTGGATGATGTTTTATGATGATTAGGTTTTTTAATTATTTTATTCTTGAAATATTTTAATGCTTCTGAAACTGCAGAAACTGTTTCACTGTAGAAACATATTGTTTTATTAGTATAAGCGCATAGAACGTTTTGTCAAATAAATGCTAATATCGCTGTTTGCATTGTTTACAAAAGATTGAACGTAATCATAAATATTGTTATGCCATATTAATTATTTTGAACATTGATTAACGTAACAACGATAAGTTAATCCATTCGTTAGAGTGTGTGTTGTGTAGTATAAGACTAAGCATACTTTACAACTACAAAGCCAATTTTCACGAGTCGCTCAACCTAATAACTTTTTCAGTTTATTATGTAGCACCTATCGTTGAAGATGATTCTTTTTTAATTTTTGTATAATGCTAATTTAATTTGTTAGGTTAAGACATTCCACGGATTTACCGGTATCTTACGCTTGTTCAGAATGTGGACAAACATATAAAAGGAAAGATTATTTAGAACTGCACTTAAAGTCTCACCGTTCCAGAATAAGTCTTTTTCATAATCCCAACAGGAAAACTTACAGCAAGGCTTTTAACACTGCAGGTAAGCTTTACTAATTATTTTAACGATATATCAAACATTGTATAAATAATGTAAGTGTGTATTAAAAAAGCATTTCAATGTCAACCCAGTCTTTTTCTAAGAAAGGTATAATATATGCATCCAGAGAAAATGTTGGAAGAAAAACTAGACTGTCCAAAAACTGCTGAAATAATTTTAAAAGGTAACAATAGCAAATGAGGTTAGTTCTTAGTTGCGTCACAGACAATTTAGTAGGTGTAAATTAATCAGTTTTCATCGACTTTATTTGTACATAATCTAACTGCATCTACAAGTAGACAAAGAAGGAAGTTATATTCAAACTATTTTAACACATCGGGATACCTACCCAATGTTTGACTTTCTTTCATGAAATGGAAAATGCTCCTTCAGAATAAACGTAAATTATAGATGAGTTCTTTCTGCTTGTCAAAAACTCAATTAAATTTCGATGACATCATCCTATAAAAACCTCGACGCGTGTCTTCAAAGGCTTAAAATAATTCGACCTCTACTTACATTTTGAGAAATGTACTTTTTCGAAACAATATTTAGGATACGTTTCATCCTATGATACAGCCCAATTCGAACCCTGGCTTCCCTCGGCAAACACATTCGTTACGGTCTGTAACCATTTTCATCCACGAACGACTGCAAGGAGATTTCTTGCGTCCTCATCAACATCATCTTCCCATCGCTTTCTCGCCCTTCCAATAGGTCTCTTCCCCTGCATTCTTGCATTCGACAGTTTTTTGGAAGCCTCTTTTATTCTATTCTAAATACAAGACCTGCCCATTGAAGACACTGTAGGCGGACATAATGAGATAAACGTGGTTCTTTACATATATTATATATTTCTTTCAAAGATATCCATGCGGTTTACAGATTTTTACGTTAATACCCAAGATACTATCCATAGCTCACTATTGGTCGGATTATGATCTTGTAGATTCGCATATCGGCTTACTTCTCCAGGTTCGCACGTCCATCAAATTTTGCACGTCCGCTGTCACTTCACCTTCCCACCTTTTCCGTGGCATTCCGTTTGGTTTGCGCCTACATTTTACTATCTAGAGCTCTTTCAGCAATCTTTCGGTCTCCATTCTCACTACATGACCAGCCCATCGAAGTCTCAGAAGTTTAACAAATTTTGAGGTCGTTGTCCCTTTAAACAGTTGGTAGAAGTTCATGGTTAATAGGTCCAAATAAATTCCTTGGGAGTTTTCTTTTAAAGACGTCCAGCTTTCCTTTTGTGTTTTCTGTTATCACACATGTTTCGCATCCATAACATACAGTTGGTCTGATAATAGTTTTTTATACCTTGATTTTAGATCTACAGTGTGTGTGTTTGGAGCGGAACACACGGGCGAGTGAAAAATAAGCTTTATTTTCCTTTACTATTCTTCTTTAAATTTTTGGTCGTTCTGTTCCATTCTTGCTTAATGCAACTTACAGATATGTGAAACTTTCTACAGTTTCAATATCGTCCTCTAATTCAATTGTGCTCTGTTTCCCCTAGCTCTTGTCTTTGTTAGCTTTTTTGCCTTTTGAATATTTATTTCAACTCCGGTCTCTTGCCTTTTAATTATGAATATATTCTGCGAGATTAATGCTAATGTCATCGGCATAGTCGGTAATCTGTATTTATTTATTTGTTTGTGGATTCGCTCTTCCTATATTCAACTGTCTTATCATATATTCGAGAGACAGGTCGATTAGTGTCAGCAAAAGTCTGTCTCATTGCTTTAATCATTAGACTTTTGAAAAGTTCTCAGTGAGCTCATTTTGTGTTTTTATAGTTGCTGTTGACGTGTCCATTGTTGCTTTTACTATTCGGATGTATTGTGATAAGTAAAAACATTGTACGCTGTGCACAAGAGTTATGCCGTGATAATTTTCGCATTTCAGTTTATCCCCTTTTTATAGATTGGTCATATAATCCCGGTTTTCCAGTCGCTAAAGATCTTTTATTTGTCATATACTAGCTATTCTCTGGGCAAATTTAAAAGTAATTCATTAGATTTATTAGTCATCTGCATATTATGACTTTTTCCTCTTTTTTAATCTCTATTTTAATAATAGTGTCTGTCACATTTGACTCTGTCATACCGTTAATGTTTGGGTCGCAATTATAAAGCGCTGTTATTGTCAAATATAATTGATGAAAGAAAGCCTTTGACCGAGCCAGAATTGGAACCGCTTGCTGAACTTTTTGGGATACAGAAGAAGATATTTCTGATGCCGAAACAATTGCTACTAATCATGAAGCAGTAAGTGACGTAAATAGTTTTATTGAGAACGAAAGTGTGGATAAAGTTACTGACTAAGTGTATGAATCTAATTACTACCACGGCAAAAGCAGAAAAAAGTCTCAAAACAACCACCTGCTGGAAGTCGTACTCGGACAGCCAATTTGGTGTCACATATTCCTGGTCTATTAGGTGTAGCTCGTATAAATCGACTGACTACACCATCTATCCTTCATGTGGCTCCACAGCCCAATTCGAATCGTGGACAGCTCCAGCAAACTTTCTTCTCCACGATTGACTGCCAAGAAGATTTCTTGTGTCCTCATCCACATCATCCTCCTATCGCTTTCTCGGTCTTCCAATAGGTCTATTCCTCTGCATTATTTCATTCAACACTTTTTTGGAAGCTTGTTTTCTTCCATCCTAAATAAATGGCCTGTTCATTGAAGACGCTTTAGGCGGACATACTGAGATAAACGTAGTCACCGAGTACACCTTATCAAGCGGTAAATTTGGTACTTGATGACCAAATTATTAACGAGTTACATGAAAGAACAAATGAAAAGATTAGTGAATTACAAATAAATTATGCAGATAGAGCTTTGAGATGCCAGGTAAGTAATAATATTGATAAAATAGAAATGAGAGCATTCTTATTTCTCTATCTAGCTGGATTTTAAGTCAAGTGATGAAGACATTAAATCACATTTCGATACGGACAGTACAGGACGCTATATATTTCGTGCAACAATGACGATGAAGAGATTTAGTTTTCTACCTGTGGTATTGAGATTATATGATCCTAACACTAGATAACAACTAATTGCGAACGGGGATAAACTAGCCGTAATATCTAATGTTTTCCGTCGACTTATTATTAGGAGTTTGCGTATGAATTATTCTTGTGGAGAATACGCAAATGTTAATTGGTTTTCGAGGCAAGTGTGAATTTCAAATATTTATGAAAAGCAAACCAGTAAAATGTGGTATTAAAACTGCTTTTATATATACAGGAAAGAATAATAACCGACATAATCCAAGACAATTCTTCTTCTTCTTTTTGCTTAGAGATGACAGTCTGTTTTTCAATGTGCTTCCAGTAAGTTGTCGTTCCATCGTTTTCGTGGTTTTCGCACTGATCTTCCCTTCCAAGAAAATCGAATATGGTTCTTATATAATCGAATATATCTCTTATTCACATTTAACGGTTTAAGTAGTCCCACCCAGTCTGGATAGGTTTCTGTTGATTTATTTAGGCGTCATATGTCCCATATCTACCAAGCACCTTCGATTGTGTTATAACTAAGAATTTCTGCTTGAATGTCATTTACGCCACCACATTTAACAAACCGTCTACGAGCATCTGTAGGGGCGGAATTTGAATTTCGTAAAGGATCCTCTTTTGTTCAATGTCCTTATGCACGAGAGTGCCTAAAATGAGTGGATATAAAATAGAAAATGCACTTAAAACACTTTGTACTTTTCTAATTGTCTTCGAATTTTTAGCATAACCCCTTAATGGCTATAGAACGGTCACGAGGACTGTCTGAGTAATTTTACCTCAGAAATTATTGAAGTAAGAAGAAAAATTATATACTTCTTATCGATGATTCAAATAATACGTTTATACGGTTATATCAACGGTATGAAGCACAATACAAGTGCTATCAAAATAAAGTATTAGTAAACGACAAAGTATGAAAAAAATATTAGAAAGATGGAAAGCACTGTAAATAAATATGAATAGTATTTAATCGATGAAATAAGCACTGAGTTATGCGCCATTACCCCCTATTCCCAATAGCTATGACCTGTCGAGGGCCACATCAACCATTGTATAATTATGTATAGTCCTACTGGAGCTTTTATTTAGAAAAAAATATGTTATATTTTCCGTGGTTGAATGGATGCGTGTGTGATATAAACTTATTACCACGGAAACAAAAATTAATATTTAAATTGAATCGAATAAAACGTAGAAAAGCTGTTAATAACATTTATTTTGTAAAAAGTAATTAATTCTCGAAGGGAAGGTATTTTTTGTATATGTATCGCGGATTGAAACAAACGGTGTCTTTAAGATTACTGAAAACTCAAACTAAATCAAAACACGCTTTCTTTGATTTTTAAAAGCCATAAACTTTTATTATAGGGCTGGTCGCTATATTATATTTCGTTCCCTATAAAAATGCAACGCTCTCAAAATGTATAATTAAAGTGTCGAGCATATCTAATATCTGTAGTAATTAAATAAATATATTGAGGAACACATTTCAATTTTTATTTTATTTCTATTATGTGTATAAGGAATTGCGAAAATGTAAATTTTAATATGAGATTGTTTTATTTAATTTTTGAAATACAAAAGTTTAATTATTCGTAATTAGCTTGTAGCTACAACACCCGCTTTCGAGAAATATGGATAATACATACATAGTTACAATGAAAATTGAATAGGTATATCAGAAAAAGACAATATTTACAAGAGAAAAAAAAGTTACACTAAAAAAAATATTTTAACTCAAAAAACTTCATACGCAGGTTTCAATCTATCGATGGAAATTGTTACTTCTTTTCCGTTTACACGGACGACAAATGTTTTGTCTCCTCGTTTAACTACTGGAAAAGGTCCGTGACATGGGTTATCTAAACAGTTTTTGATTGTGTCACGGCGGACAAACACGTGAGTGGTTGTTTTCATCTCTTTGTAAATAAAAGTGCTTTTGGACCCAAATTGCGACGGTTGCTTAGGACGAAGATTTTCGAAATAGTTTCGAAGTGTCTTTAAGTAAATGTCGTCGGTGTTTCTTTGCGACGAAAACAATAATTCACCGGGTAAACACAATGGTTCTTCATAAACGAGTTCGGCAGCTGAAGCACCTAAATCTTCTCTCCACGCTGCTCGTATGCCCAGTAACAATGAATATAGGCTTTCGGTCCATCAAATATTTTCATGGCATCGAATTGCTGCTTTTAATTGTCGATGAAATATTCGCATATTTTTGCATATTCGCATTCGCAAAATTTGTGTGAATGTTTTGCGAATATAAATATAAGAAAAAAAATAATTTGAAGATTAACCTAATAAAATAAAAATCCATTCACTTCTCAGTTTTTTATTAAGAAAACTCACTTTATTTTACAAGGTCTATTAATTTTGTGTTTGTATTAAACAAATATACTGCCCTCTCTTATTAAAAAACAACAATTGTCTGTTTTTACTTATTTTTCAAGTTTGTTTTTAACAATAAGTAAAAACAGTGAACTGTTATTTTTTAATAATTAGAATTTAATAGAGGAATATTAAACTTTAGAAATAAAAGCTTTGACGCCTTTTCTCCTTCAAGTCTGTTTCGATGTGGCGTATAAAGAAGTCCAGCGCCACTAAACAAGCGCTCACTCGGGACACTCGTTGGTGGTGTAACTAAATATTGCCGAACTACAGGAAAAAGAAAATCATACCTTCCCATATTCACTTTCCACCATGTTAGAGGGTCGACGTCACCTGCCACGCGTTTTTCCGATGAGTATTCTGTGACAGTTTTACGGATTAAAAGATGGACAGAGTTTTCAAAACCAGGAAGAGCCATGTCATCTTCTTCACTATCACTCGTATTCATCAGTAAACTCATCGTTTCTTTTAAGGACAGACTGTTGTGTGTTTCGTAATCTTCGCATTCATTATTTAATCTAACACGCTTTGCATTCGGGTAAAGTGAATTGGAAGATATGTCGGTTTCATTGTCTCTGAGCAAATCTAAAATATGCTCTATGACAAGCTCTTTAGTCGAGGTATTTTTTAAAAAATTTGCTTTGTATCTTGGGTCAATAAAGGTCGCCGTGGCAAACAATATTTCATTCTCTAAACCCGAAAACTTGCGAATAAGCTCATCTTTTATGACGGTAATCGTATCACTAATGTGTTCATCGGATGAATCAAGATCATGAATAACTTTTTCTAGAGTAGCAATTAAGGGAATTACAGAATAAATAGAAACATCGACAGCACTTAACTCTCTGATCACTTCTTCAAATGGTCTTAGTAAACTGATAAGTTTTTTAACAATCATCCACTCTTTAGAAGCCAGCTGAGGAATTGTATTATTTGCCGAAGCGTACAGACATCATGACTCTTTGACTTGAAAAATACGCTCGAACATATAAAAAGTGCTGTTCCGCCTAGTAGCACATTCTTGAATAATCTTAAGAGGTTTTTGATTAAGTCTTTTTTGTATACTAGTCAGCTGATCTTGGGCAGCAGTCGAATAATGAAAATGAGTTGCCATCTTTTTGCATTCTGTTATGTCAGCCACGACAGATTCTTGAGCCTTCATCCCTGCTTTTAACACAATTTGAATATTGTGAGAAGTACAGTCAATATGTTTAACATTTAATAAGTTAACACCTTTTTTGATATTAGCACATCCATCTCGAACTACACATTCTTTGGGTATTTCCCAAATCGACAAGATATCTTTAAGTTTATGAGCAATATTTTCTCCGGTGTGGCGGTCTTCATTAAACACTTCTGCTTTTAACACTATCATTTTCCTTTCAAATTATTTTGTTATCCCATGACAAGTTAAACTCAGCAATGAAACTCCAGAACAATTATCAGACCAAATGCCGATAGTAAATGATAATTTTTCGAAGGTTTTTAGTAATTCAAGAATTTTCTGACTTACTTTGCCAAATAATTTATCGCATATAAATGAAGTGAAATACTGACGCGAATTTAAATTGTAAGGCGGACACAAATGCTTGATAAGTCTTGTGAATCCAACACTTTCCACGAAACTAAATGGCAAGTCCTCCAACGCAACCATTTCAATTATAGAATTATCCACTGCCAATGATTTCAAAGAATTATTATCCTACTGTTTCGTTTTATCGACAAATTCTTGAAGCGATATTTGTTTCATGGCAGATTTAGTACCTTGATGGGAAGATGATGCCTGTTCAAGTGACTTAAAAGCAACTTGTTTTCGGTTTTCACACTCTTCTAATGTGGAAAACTCGGAAAACTATGCAGTGCCTTTAAATGATTTCTCATAGCCGTTGTAGTTCTTCCTTTTCTCGAATATTCTGTGTTACACAGCTTGCATGTAGCTCGTTCAGTATTGAAAAGTGGTGAAAAATAAGTCCATATTTCACTATAATTTGATTTACTAATAGTAATAAATCGCTAATCACACTTTAACTACAAAATTCGCTTGTATTTGTGCACGAGCAGAGCAGGGCAAGTGGAGTGACTTGTGTCCCGTGAAATTTCTATTGGAACTATAACTCTCTCTCTATAACAAGTCAAATTTGATTATAACAAGAGAAAATAATATCGAAAAACGTGCTTTTACGTTTTTGGCCCGGACGTGTTCTTTCTTTACAATAAATACAACTGTTTCACATATTTAGCAAATTCGATAGAATGATACTGGACAATTTAAAACAGTTAAAAATTACAGACTTCTTAAAATTGCAGATGCTACGCACCTCGCGCAAATGAGACTGCCAGCAGTGCCGGAGACAATTAAAATTGCCAAATTAAAAAAAAAATTAATATTCGCATTCGCGAATGTCGGTGGCATATATTCGCATTCGCGAATGTTTAAAAAATGACATTCTTTACATCACTACTTTCCACAATGCCATTTGCTTGAGGGTGATAGGCGGTTGTTCTTAAATGGAGAGTTCCAGTTAATTTGCAGTCCCCGTGTGAAGGCAGGCCACTCAAGTAGAATACCTTCACGGCTTCTCGTGCTTGTCGTAAAAGGCGACTAAATGGAGCAGCTATCCGCTGTCCACTACCCAAATTCCTAACCTGTCCGTGTGCCATAAGACCCCCACCCCTACCCATCATACACGTCCTGATATCCAAACCTATACCCGCGGAGAAAACCTCCACTAATACAAAAACCAGGTGAAAAAACCACTGAGAACAAATGGATATGCATAGAACAGGCGGCTATGCATCATTCTAATATATCGCCACCCTAACCTCAAGGTGTAACACCATCGTGCCGAAGGGGTGCATGGCGGCCCAAGGGGAAAAGTGGGTCTCAAGCGATGCCCTAAGGAGAAGGCGAACCGAAGTGGATTATAGCCTTGGCGGAGTATGGGCGCATTGCCCCACTGGACCAAAGAATCGACCCAACTCGTGGGAAGAAAAATGGAAAAATATTTAAGAAAAAAGAAGGTAAGCATAGGGGTAGGAGAGTCTATGGAGGATATATGCGAAGAGGCTGGCGACATTAGCGGAAGAAAAGGAAAAGGACAGTCGGGGAAGAAGAAAGAAGGAGAAAACGAGGACATAGGTGAAACAGTGGAGGAGAATGGCAGTGAAAACGAAACGGGAGATAGTAATGACGAGAGTGAATGGACGACCAACACTAACAGAAAGAAGAAAAGGAAATCGCACGGAGAGAAAGGCATAGAAGCTGGTGGAAATAAAAATGAAAATAAGATAGATTTAAATAGAAGGAATGAAGAAGGAATGTCAAAAATGAAACGATGCATCGACGAGTTAGTGAACCTAACAAAGACGGTGGCAAATACAAATAATGAGATAAAACAGGGAGCCGCAAAGGTACGGCAGATTTGGTTCGAAATGAAAAAAAAACATTAGAGAGCTAATGTATAGTGCTACAGAAGATATTGACAAAAGGGAAGGCATAAGAAAATGTGTAACAACAATAGGGACGCAAACAAAAACAACTGTAGCAATAACTACGAGGTGCGTAGGGACCCAAGTAGAAGTAAATTGGGAGAAGAACCCAGAATTACAAAGAAAAAGGATTGAGGAATTTTGGAGGCACCGGATTATGTGGCAATCTTGGTAAAAGAGGATGCTGCTGACGCAAGAGTGAAGGGGGATTTTAGTGCAAGGTACCCAGACCTCCCCGGATTATACGTGGAAGAAGATGAAAATAGAGAAATTAGGACTATGTCTCAGATAACATGTACAGTAGAGGAAAATGGGAGAGAGAGAACATCAAAAAAATTTGCACACAAGCTGAAACAAAGGAGAGGAGAAGAACCAATGCCTGTTAAATTCTTGGCAGCAGCCAGGAAGCTATTCGACCGTATGAAAAGAATGGATAGAGAAAAGATAGGGATAGCAGATATATGGCAAAACGTTTAAGGAAAGGCAAATAGTAGCCACAGAAACGAAAGGGATGGTAATCATCACAAAACCGAACTTCAAGCCCTATTAAGGGAAGAACTAGGAGAAAGAGAGGATGTCGTCATAAACAAGGTGAGACAAACCAGACAAGAAGGCGTGGTCCTGGAATTAAATGGAGGCAGGAAAATGGCGGAACAAGTCAGGAATTTAGTAGCATCAAGACAAGGATGTGCAACAAGAGTAGTGGCAAAAGGTGGAAGAGTAAAGAAGGGTTTGATGCTGGCCGACATGGATGGCCTAACCACAGAAAAAGACATTGTCGAATCGGTGGACAAATTTGCTGGTAGGGAGGAAGCATGTGAAATAGTTGGAAAAATAAGGACAAACAGGGGAGAAAGTAGAATTTGTTATGTGGAGGTGGATGAGGACATAGCCAAAAGACTGTTAGTGGCAGAAAGAATAAAGATCGGGATGGTACACGTCACGGTAAAGGAGATGGTAAAGGTGACTCGATGCTATAGATGCCAAGCACAGGGCCACATAGCAAGAGACTGTGAGGGAGAAGCAAAAGGGGAGTGCTGGAAGTATGAGATGGAGAGCCAAACCCTCGTTAGTGCGCAGTAGGGAATGGTTCGTGGATACGTCGGGCGTAGTAGGAGTGCGGATACTTAATAGAAAACTGAGAGTATATGGTATTAATACGCATGAGGGATTTGTGACGATACGTGTCTTCTTCTTCTTCAGATGCAAATCCACTAATGGATGTTAGCGATCACATTTTCCATTAATTCTCTATTTCTTGCAATATGTATCAGAGAATGTATGTCGTTAATCCCTGTCCATTGCCTTATTTTCGGAGCCAGGACATTTTCTTGCGTCCCATTCCTCTCTTGCCTTCAATTTTACCCTCGATTATAAGTTGGAGGAACTGGTATTTTTCATTTCGCATGATGTGACCTAGATATGTCGTTTTCCTTTTCTTGATGGTTTCGAAAAGTTGGCGTTCTTGGTTTATTCTTTTAAGGACATCTATATTTGTGATTTTCGCTGTCCATGGTATTTTTAGGATACGGTAATAAAGCCACATTTCGAAAGCTTCTAATCTGTTTATATCCCTCGTTTTGAGTGTCCAGTCCTCTACGCCATATAGCAGCACTGACCATACGTAGCACTTAGTAAACCTTAGTCTCAGTTGAAGATCGAACTCTGAACAAGTCAGTACCTTCTTGAATTTGACAATTGACGATACGTGTGGAGGGAGTAAATGTGGTACGCTGCTATATTTCACCGAATTGTACAGTCGAGAATTATGAAAGTAGACTGGATGAGATTATGAATGAGGTAAGATTATTGGGAAGAGAGTGTGTAGTGCTGAGGGACTTCAACGCCAAAGCGGCGGAGAGAGGTTCTCCCAGAACGGACGGTCGCGGACAAATGCTTATGGAATGGATAGGAACCCTGGACTTAGTTGTCTTAAATAATGGTCAGGAACTAATGTTCGTGAGGGGAAATTCGCATTCATATATCGATGTCACGTGTACCACTCAGAATGCAGCGAGGAAAATTAGAGATTGGACCTTGCTGCCAGGTGACACCGCTACAGAACACCGCTACATTGGCTTTTCGATCGTCGGAGTAGCTATGAGAAATTGCATAAACGGGGTAGATGAAAAAAGAAAAATGCCTTATGGGTGGTGCGAAGAGATCGCCAATAAGAGGAAGGAATGCATTGCCATCAGAAGACAGGCTACGAGGGCAAGAGGTAGAGGAGAAGTAACCGAAGCTAGCAGAATAGATATGGTATACAATGCGCGAAAGAAGGAACTGAACAGGAAGATCCCAGCTGAGAAGAAAAAGTACTGGAGAGAACTGTGTGACAAGTTGGATGAGGACGTTTGGGGTCAGGGGTACAAAATCATAATGAACCAGCTCAAGCTATACCCTCTGTAT